ACTAAATACCATCCTGGATTGTTGTAGATTTTTTGGGCTGTATGGCCATGTTCTAGAAGTATTCTCTCCTGACATTTCACCTGCATCTATTATTTATCCTCAGAGGTAGTGTCTATCTCTGACAGGCCCGTAGCCAGGATTTTGATTCGGGGGGGGGGGGGGGTGAGTTCTGAGTGAAAGAGGGTTTACCCTAGCAAACTTTTGTATCGTTACCCCAATACCCCCATGCATATGGGATATATTGAGTATGGTGATCAGATCATGATATGAATAAACATAACAGTTTAAATAATGTACCAGTAAGGCCTTCCCGCGGACCACCATGAGAATTTGGGGGGGGGGGCTGAAGCCCCTCAACCCCCCCCCCCCAGCTACATGCCAGATCTCTGAGGATGCCTGCCATAGATGTTTTTATAGGTTTTAATGTATGTTGTTTATAATTCTGTTTAAATTGATATTGTAATTTTTACATTGTTTTAATTGGCACTGAATAGCTGCCTTTGTTCTTGAGTCACCTTCAGGTTTGAGAAAGGTGGGGTAGAAATATCATAAGATAAATAAATAAATAAATAAATAAATAAATAAATAAAGAGATAATACTTCTAGAACATGGCCATACAGCCTGAAAAACCTACAAAAACCCAGTGATTCTGGCCATGAAAGCCTTTGACAACACCATCCTAGATGTCTTCCAGCAGTTCAGTCTTCTTATTCTCTGATTCATATCATTTATTTGGGCAGAGAATCATTGCACTTTTCAGAAATGGATCACTGATGCATTCAGTGTGGTATTGTTCATGGGAGCTAGTATAGCATAGTGGTTTGAATGTTGGAATAGGACAGCTGGAGAACATGGTTTGAATGTTTAGCCATGGAAACTCACTTGGTAGCCATGGGAAAATCCCACTCTCCCAGCCTCAAAGGAAGACAATGGCATCTTTAACGGAATAAATCTTGCCTTGGAGAGGTGAGAACTACCACATGTATTCTAGATCCTTGCCCTTCTTGGCTGATCAAACAGGTCAGAGGGGGATTAGCAGAGTGGGTGAAGGTGGTGGTCAATGCCTCCTTAAAAAAAGGCAAATTTCCAGTTTGCCTAAAGGCGGCAGTTATGAGACCTACATTTTAAAAACCATCCCTGAACCTCTCTCTAATGGACAACTATCGGACAGTGTCCAACCTCCCCTTTCTGAGCAAGGTTTATCTATTTGGATCCATTTCAATCTGGTTTCAGTCTTGATTATGGAAGAGAGACAGCTTTTGTCACCTTGGGGATGACCTATGCAGAGAACTAGACAGGGAGAGTGTGTCCCTGTTGGTTCTCCTGGATCTCTCAGTAGCTTTCAGTACCATTGACCACAGTATCCTTCTGGGTTATCTCACAGCGATGGTACTGGGAGGCATTGTTTTACAGTGGCTTCAGTTCTTCCTGGGGGACCCTACCCAGAAGGTGGTGCTGGAGGACTCCTGTTCGAACCCCTGGCCATTGACCTGTGGGGTTCCTCAGGATTCCATTTCGTCCCCCATGCTGTTCAACATATACATGAAACCGCTGGGAGAAGTCATCTGGAGTTTTAGAGTTGGGTGCCACCTATATGCAGATTATGCAAGACAGAGGTGCTCCTGGTCAGTCAGAAGGGAATAAGGATACAGCCTGTGCTGGATGGGGTCACACTCCCCTTGAAGACATAGGTCCACAGTTTGGGGGTCCTCCTTGTCTCAGTGCTGAACCTGGAGGCCCAGACATTTGCACTGGCCAGGAGGGCCTTTTCACAATTAAAACTTGTGCTCCAACTGTGCCTGTTCCTTGAGAAACCAGATCTGGCCATGGTGGTACATGCCTTAGTTACATCCCATCTGGATTACTGTAATGCACTTTATGTGGGGCTGCCTTTGAAGAGTTCTCAGAAACTTCAACTGGTCGAAAGAGATGCAGCCAGGTTGCTAACTGAGGCTGGCTACAGGGAGCGGACAACCCCCCCCACCCCCCCATTGCAGTAGCTCCACTGGCTGCCAGTGGACAGTTCAAAGTGCTGGTTATGATCTTTAAAGCCCTAAATGGTTGAGACCAAGGCTATCTGGCTGACTGCATCCCCTTGTATGAACCTGCCCAAGCCCTGAGATGTTCAGGAGAGGCCCTTCGTTCAGTCCCACCTCCATCTCAAGCTCAGTTGGTGGGAACAAAAGAGTGAGCCTTCCTTCTTTGCCCATTGACTCTGGAACTCCCTGGCAAGGGAAATCAGAATGGCCTCCTGTTCTTCCAATGACAGGCTAAAACCTTTTTATTCAAACAGGCATTTAAAGATGAAGATGTTTAAGATCTAGTCAGGAGATGCTATAATTTTTAACTTTGAACATGTTTGATGAATTTTAACTGCATTTTAAAATACTGTTTCTGTATCATTCTGTTTTAATATTTGTATATTTGTATATTTTCAATTGGATACCAATGCTTTTATGTCAAGCTGTTTTGAGCCCCCTTTGGTGAGATAAAGCAGGGTATAAATATAATAATAATCATCGTCATCGTCGTCGTCGTCGTCGTCGTCATCATCATCATCATCATCATCTAAGCCAAATTCCACAAGGAATACCATAATATAATGAACAGAAAATTAGGCTCCAAAGAGACAGGATGCAGAACAAATACTACCATCAGCTTGAATGACTGGTAGACAACAGAGGCAAACAAATGTTAAACTAGGTAAACAAGGCTGTAGTCAATAGTATATTAAACCTCATCCATGCAGATAAAATGCACTGAGTGATTTCTAATGTATTTTCTGGCTCCATTGGAATGAGAATGTATTTTAAAGGATAAAATTGTCCCACATGCACAGAATTGTTAGTTGGTGCAAAATAAATAGTATTTCAAAATAGCCAAAGAACCAGATATATATTTTACATAAGGTGTGTGCAGGGGCAGCTCAACCATTACGCAAAGTAAGCATTTGCAGTATAGTTGATTTTGCCCAGGGGCGCTCTTGAGGTGCTCTTGGGGGAAAATAGACCTTGACATATGCGAGTTGTAGTTACTGGGATGTATAGTTCACCTACAATCAAAGAGCATTCTGAACTCCACCAATGATGGAATTGAACCAAATATGGCACACAAAACTCCCACGACAAACAGAAAATATATATCAGTGATTGGTTGGGGGGGGGGGGGGCAAAATACTGTTTGCTTACCATTGAAAATTACCTGGAACAAGAGGATAAACTTTTTACATATATGACGACTGCCGCTAGAATTGTTTTTGCTAGAGAATGGAAGAAAGACTCAGTACCACCCGTACAGGAATGGGTGGAAAAAATCAGAGAAATAAAGGACATGGATGAATTGACTTTTTTATTGAAGAAAAATACAGGTATGATACTAAGAAGAACGAATTGGGATAATCTCCATGAATATCTGGACAATTTGGGAAAATAAGAAACAAGAGAGACAATTTCTTTTTGAACTTATTTTATATTTTTGAATAATAAGAAGATGTGATCCAAGAAGATGGAATGGAAGTCAGTTTTTTTTCTTTTTTTGTGTGTTTTTTGTGTATTTTTGTAGATTTTTTTTATTTTTTTCCCTTTTTTATTTTTTTAGGGGTTGTTTGGGATTTTAGTATACTTTTTTTGTTTCTTCTTTTTTCTCCTTTTTTTCTTTATTTCCTCACTTTCCTATACTTTATTGTTCTCACTCTTTTGTTGTAATCTACCGTATATACCGGCATATAAGACGACTGGGCGTATAAGACGACCCCCAACTTTTCCAGTTAAAATATAGAGTTAAGACGACTCCCATGCATAAGACTACACCCGCGTATAAGACGACCCCTGACTTTTGAGAAGATTTTCTTGGGTTAAAAAGTAGTCTTATACGCCAGAATATACTGTATATAAAAATTAATAAAATTCTAATTAAAAAAAAGAAAATTACCTAGGGCCCCCTCTGGGTGTGTGTCAGAAGTGACACACACATTTTACATAAGGTTAAGTAGATGACAGACTTCCCTTTCTGATTTCATAGCACAGGAGAATTTGGAACCAGCATTACTTCAGTTTGAAAGTGAGCCTCTAAACTGCAGCAATGCACACAAGATTTTTCTGCACTCTCTCTTACAAACACCTATAAAACCTGCTACATCAGAGGCAAAAGTGGAATGGGGACATATACAGCCAGCCCACTGAATCCACAGATTCTGGCATCCACAGCTTGAAAATGTTTTCTTAAAAATCCATTTTTACCATTTTGCCATTTTACAACACAATTGTATATAGTAGGATTTGAGCATCCATAGATTTTAGGATCCATGGGTGGGCCCTGGACCAAGCCCCAGCAGATTCTAAGAGCCCTTTGTAATACTTTTTACCCTCTCAATGCAGAGGCCCCAGTGGCACAATGTGTTAAACCCTTGTGCTGGCAAGACTGAAGACCAAGAGATCAGAGGTTCAAATCCAAGGAGAGCTGGATGAGCTCACTGTCATCTCCAGTTCCCCATGCAAGGACATGAGAGAAGGCTCCCACAAGAATAATAAAACATCTAAAACATCCAGGAGTCCACTGGGCAATGTTGTTGCAGATGGTCAATTCTCTCACACCAGAAATGACTTGCAGTTTCTCAAGTCACTTCTGACATAAAAAAAACCCTTAATAAAAACAAAACAAAAGACAAGGACATTTTCCCCTGTGTCTCTATAAAGAAATCCTGCTGCAATAAAGCAGCAAAATAATAGTCCATTTTAATTCCTCCCCTTGATTTGATAAAACCAGCATCCCTTCCACCTTAAAGTTCACTGTTGTTTATGTTGTGTTTTATGTTATGTTTTATGTTGCTGTACAAGATGCATTTAGCTTTTAATTTGGAGTAAGGCTGTATTTGCTTCAACTTATTGCTTGCTTAATGTGGAAAGGTCCTAGCTGGCTGGGAACAGGAAAAAGAAAAGTAAAAAACAGTTAGTGCTTATCTAAAAACTGGAGCCCCTCCCCTCCTCATATGAGTTGGAGAGGCCAAACGGAATGACACATGGGCTGTTTCCTTTTCCAGTGGTAAATGGTCAAGAACCAGAGAAGAGACATCCGAACAAGAGCGGCTTTCTCCTGGTTTCTCCCCAGCCCTTCCAGCTGTTCTGCTTCACCCAACTTTGGACTGCGGCTAGGAAAGCAAGACTGTACAAAAAGGGAGGGGGGCACTTTTCTGAATGCATAAAGAATGAATTCCTATAACAGTTCAACATCTGCTCCGCGTGAGTACTCATTATCAATTCCCCCTCCCACGGTAGTACTGTAACGGCAACTGTACAACCCTTAAGGTTAATGTTAATTTGTTTAAAAGAACTATTTTAAAAGAAACTTTGTATGCAGAGATCTCCTTTCTAAAGGCTGTTCTTCAAACTTTGCTTCCTTTCTTTCCTACATTTAGCAGTGTGGGAGGGTTTAAGCAAAAAGAATGAAAGCATGTGTGTAGAAGTTAAAGCAGGGATCCAAAGACAACAGTCATTTTCATCGATTTTAACTCTAGGTAAAAAAGTTTTGAATCTGTTACAGAGAAAATGTAGCTGAAACTAGAATGAATTAATTGCATTTCTTTTGTTTATTCATTTTTTTACTGACTTTCAGGTAACTGTTTGCTAGTTTTGCCTCTTACACACACTCTCTCTGCTTCTCTCATGGGACATTTTACTACTTCACTCATATACAGACAGGGAACTATCTCTGTGTAACATGAGAACCAAGCCGTAAACTGTCAGCCTATATTTAGCCACAATGCATTTTTGTTTTCAGAACCTTTGCAAAGCAGGCCTATGAGAATGGAATGGGGAGGGGGCATATTTCCTGTTTCCGTAGTTGCATATTTTTCAGTGAAAAGTTATACTATGATAGATGTTAGAGTGGGGAGAACTAGGATAGGTGAATATGAAAAAGAAGCAACAAACTTTCTACAGTAAAGTTTATGAATTATTTGAGAACTGAGAAGTTAGTATAAGTTTCCAGCAGTGTCACCAAAGTGGATTCCAAGCTAGAGATCATATTGTGAATATGGGAAAGCCTGAAATTTGGTGAGAACACATTTGGTAATATTACAACAGAATTAATAATGGCACAGTCATATTTATCATGTGTTCATTTAGCATGGTGCAATAAATATATAGCTGCATTTTTAAACCTTCCTAAGAAAAAATGCCCCAAGGGCCTTACAATCTAAAATGAACAGGGAGGAAAACAAGCAGAAAAGGAAGTACAGTAAGTCAGAAATGTAGCAAAGGATGAATTGAGCATTGCTCATTCACTGTGTCATGGATCCTGTACAAAGTGGACAGCTGTTCCATTAACCAACAGCCTTTGTTCCAAATGTTTGACATAAAAGAGTTCTTAGAAAATTGGAGAAATCAGTTCTTAGATAATTGGTAAATTTTGAGAACAGGTTTTCTGGGCACAAATGGGGAGAAACAGGCAAACACGTGTGTCTTTCTTCTCCTCATTTTCTTTTAAGCACACTTCCAATCCAAATAGTTACATGGTAGGCTGCTGAAAACATAAGGTATACATAAATGGCCTATACTGTGTAATGATGAGCAGTTTCAAAAGAACTCCACATAAAAGTATATAATGTTTCTAATTTTGCTTGGAAAGATTTTTAAAATGTACTGTAATTACTTTTACAAAAATGCAGAAACCAAAATAATAATTTCTCATTTCCCCTGCCCTCTTCCTCTGACTGTTTTAATTATTGTAGCCCCATCTTATTTGCCATGTCTGCATTTGACTAAGGCTCCTTCTACACCACCCTATATTCCAGAATCTGATCCCAGATCATCTGATTTAAACTGGATTATATGAGTCTCTACTGCCAGACATTCTGGGATAAGAAGATAATATGGCAGTGGTTCTCAACCTGTGGGTCCCCAAGTGTTTTGGCCTTCAACTCCCAGAAATCCTAACAACTGGTAAACTGGCTGGGATTTCTGGGAGTTGTAGGCCAAAACACCTGGGGATCCACAGGTTGAGAGCCACTGTAATATGGGATATAGGGGCCTAAGAGCATAGAAAACACTTTAATTTGCCACTGACAGCCTTTGTACAGATTAGCCATGTCTGTATAAGCAAATGGTGCTATATGTGTGATGGCTTGGATCTTACAAGCAGAACTTTGAACAGTCCCTTCTTCATTGGCTTTTGTGTCTTTTTATGGACTACAGCTTCTAGAACCTGGCATGCCCGCTGGTTGAGAGACTCTGGGCCTTGCAATAAATCTCCTTTAAATTACTGAGTGGAAGTGTGCAGAACCTGTGCATGCAGGTCAAAGGCACACCTAAATGTGCACAATAGGAGAGTCACCCTCAAAACACCACATTTTCAGGAGGCACATCTAGGTGCTAAGACAGAGAAAAGGGAAATGTTTTTGAACTTCATCCTATGTTCTTAGGGTCTATGGAAATGAAATTAGATTCTAGTGGCTTTCTGTGTTCGTTGCATAGCAAAAAGATGGAATGCCCAATCTGAATCAAAGTTTTTTTTAAATTTATAATGTAGAGTAAGTCTTATTGTGCGCCTTCAAGTAATTTCCAACTTCTGTTGATTCTAAGGTGACCCTATTGTGCAGTTTTCAGAAATTGAGAGTGTGTGATTTACCCAGGGACACCCAATGGATTTCTATGTCAGAATGAGGATTAGAACCATTGTCTCCAGAGTTGTAGTACAAGACTTAAAACACAATGGCACACTGCATTATCCATATGCTTACCACTTAGACCTTGGACTTTTCAAACATGTCAGTGGGAGAAAGAAACATTGGCCTACCACAGGATGGGCACAGCACAGTTGCAATATCTCATGTAGGCCACACAATAAAATATTATTGCTGCAGCTCTTAACCAGCCTGCATGAGTATTTTCTAAACAAGGCAGGTGTCTTGTCACTACGGAAAGTCTCAAGAATCAGCAAAACATCTTTTAAACAGATTGAAGTGGCAGCAGCACCAGCATTATCCGTCCTTTCTGCCAATCTGACACTAAAGTTTGCTTACAATAATTTTAAGAAAACCTAAACAACATACATATTATTTGGGGTCAGTTTAATGACCTCAAAAATCATTAAATTGACTCCAAATTAAAATCAGTTAAAATATAGCTATTAAAAATAGCAAATAGACAAGACAGTAGAATTGTTTAATGTCATTTCCCTCACACAATATATTTATTATATTTATTTATAATAAATTGATAGCTGTTATCTTTGTTTACAGTAAATTGATAATACTTGCACAATGGCCCATTGCTCTAGAGCAGTAAAATTATTATATTTATTTCTAATGGGCTGCACTCTACTATTTAACAAATGACTCATTTTTCAAATTCAGTAGTAGATATATGTTACCCAAAGAGAAAAAGGAAGGATTTGTGGAATGATTGATTTGCAACCAGGAACTCAACAGACCCTGCTAATGAAACATCTGCCATATCAAGCCAACAGACAGCAAAATAGAAATCCTTCTTAATGAAGTTACTCTAAGAAACCTCAGTAATTACTGTCATTGAATATATACTCGGTGGAGACCACATGTCCATTGGGTCAGCTGCCTGTTTTTTGGATGAAGGTACGTGGGCTTTCAGAAAAGCCAGACTGCGTTGAGTATTGTAATCCCTACAGCAGCCAAATTTTCACATAATTTGTTCTCCAACATATGTTTCACCACAGGGATCCAGTGAATTAAAATGAACAATTCTGCAGTAAAATGTTGTCAGTTTAATATTTCTGTGCAGCCTTAACGTTGTAAAGCAATTTCCACTGCTGCCACCTCTCTTTCCTCACTCTCGTTTCTGGAGAGTCTGATTCCCCAGTAAACTCTGTTTCAGTTTGTTATCAGCAACTGCCTCCTGAAGACTTTTTGGTGGTTAATGTGGAGTGTCTTGAGAGTGATAATGCATGATGTCATAAACTACTAATGATAAATCCCATATTTAACATATATTTGGTCCGAGTTAATTTATTTTGGCTCTATTAAAAGGTGGAAAGCCCTCAAACGGTAGCAGTGTAGCCTTGGATGAGATCACACACTATGTACCTTCTCTTTCAAACCTCAGAGAGGGAAGTAGTGAGCTCTACTGAGGAATTAGACATATTTATTTCTTTGACTTTTTGTTTCTCTAATATCTACATCTGTTTCTTAAAAACAGAAACAACCCATTTTTTCTATAAATCATAGAATCATAATTAGAATACATTACCAATACCATTGAATCCAACCTCTGCCATGCAGGAATACACAATCACAGTGCTCCCAACAGATGGCTGTCTAGATTCTGTTTAAAATCTCCAAAGGAGACATTCCAAAGTAGCCTATTTCACTATTGCACACACTTACTATCAGGAAGTTCTCCCTAAAGTTTAGAACTTCTCTTTTCTTATAATTTGAATCCAGCCAAGCAGGCATGTAGCCAGGGGGGGGGGGGGCTTGAGGGGCTTCAGCTCCCCCCCCGAAATTCTCATGGTGGTTGCGAAAAGGCCTTACTGGTGCATTATTTAAACTGTTATGTTTATTCATATCATGATCTGATCACCATACTCAATATATCCCATATGCATGGGGGTATTGGGGTAATGATACAAAAGGTTTGCTAGGGTAGACCCTCTTTCACTCAGACTCAGCCCCCCCCCCCCGAAACTCAGCCCCCCCCCGAAACCCCCTGAAAAAAATTTAGCCCCCCCCCCCCCGAAACGAAATCCTGGCTACGGGCCTGCAGCCAATCCTCAAAAATCAGGTCATTGTAAATTATCTGATGACTGTAATGAGTATTGTTCAAAAAGTAAATCCTTCTCAGCTCCAGTATCAACCTAACTATAGTATTTCAAAAAAAAAAAAAGCAAAACAAAAAACCCATGCCTGCATACTATTTACATATGCTATAGATAGCAAAATACAAAGCTGGATCATATTGAGTCAATCAATTGTTTTCTCTAAATTGTGGTTTTTTAAGATCTATATTCCTAGATATCAGTCCGTAACTCAGACCATTTTTGACTGCTGGTCATGATAACATAAGATGATAGAGACTCCAGTCCAATATAAAATGATTCTTGTTTTGAAAAACTAAACTCAATGGTGCTGCCTTTTCAAAATGTTAGCAATGCTCTAGGGCCCCAGACAGACTCCTTCCTATCATTTGGTTGGTAAAGCTCAGGTCAGTATAATTTACTTTTCTCATAGGTGTCAGCACCTATCATGTGACTGTATGGAAGTTATGTA